CTCTCTTTTCTCCGCCATCCCAACCGATTTCAACTCTCGGCCTCGGTCACTTTCCGCTTCCCGCCTCGCCTGCCCTCCCTCCCCGCGAACCGAGAGGAAAAACATTTTAAAAACAAAACCCCAAAAAACAAAACAAAACAAAAAAAAAGCAAGAAACAGCGCGAAAAAAAAAAAATTCGAAGAGGAGCTGTGCGGCGGCGGCGCGGGCAGAGAGGGGAGGGGTCGCTCCGAGGGGCAGCTCCGCGGCGGGAGGAAGGACGAGGAAGAGGAAGGAGGGCGGCTCTAGGAGCAGCCGCAGCGATCCACCACCATGCCGGGGATCTTGCCGTAGATGATCTGCTGCTTGTCGTTGAAGTAGAGCATGTTGATGGGCGACATCTTGGTGGGCGTGCAGCAGGGCCCGGCCGAGCCGCGCGGGTTCGCCTGCTGCACCAGGTGCGTGTGCGGGTACTTCTGCATGAACATGTACTCGCACTGGCCCGAGCAGTAGTTGGCCTTGTAGCGCTTCGGGGCGATGATCCAGTCCCAGCCGAACGCCTCGAAGTCCACGGTCAGCGGGTACCGGCAGCAGCGCGACTCSGTCGAGTGCTCGTCGCAGTCCAGCCCCAGGTTCCGCCGGGAGCGCTTGTTGTTCTCCAGAACGCGCAGCTCCATGAACGGGTGCTGGGGACACACAGGGGACAATGGTGACACACTGCCCAGGGAGGTGGCACTGGCACCATGGGGGTGGCACCAGCCCCAATTTCCACCGGGAGCGCTTGTTGTTCTCCAGCACCCGCAGATCCCTGAACGGGTGCTGGGGACACAGAGGGGACACAGGGGACAATGGTGACACACTGCCCAGGGAGGTGGCATCAGCCGCACAAAAGTGACAGCAGCCCTCTCAAGGTGGCACCAGCCCTGCCCCCCGAGCTCTCACTGTCCCCAGTGCCAGTGTCACCTGGCTGTCCATCTCTAAACTGTCCCATCTCCACCTGTCACCATCTCTAAACTGTCCCCAGCCGCATGGCAATGCGCCACCACCCACCCCATTTCCTCCCTGGGGACACCCCGAACCTCTGTCTGTGCCACCC